CCTGTCAATAGCCGGAGAAATCGGCTACCAACGTGTTAAAAACTTGACATATGCTTCGTATGAACAGATGTTATAAGTGTTGCTTTTGGTAAATTTTCAATCGATTTCATCAAAACATTTCACTGACTACTAGATATTATAATATATTATTCTCTTCAAGAATCAGTCATAGAACTCCACTTGTAAGTCTATGTGTCGAAGTTTGGCGTTTTGGAATTTAAAGCTGAACGATTGCACTATCGCGCATAACAGAGGTCCGCATTAATCATTTCGGGTGAACCCACTGACCCTTTATTTTTTTTGGAAGGCCTGCAAGTGTAGTATGGCATGCAAGTGCTTTTTCGAAACCAGAGAGGCTTCAGTCTGTAGCGAGTCTTCAGCGAGGTTGTTAAAGCTTTCATTGGACAGAGGATACGCATTGACGAAACACCCAGTGAAGGGAACAACAGCTGCAGTAAGCATAGTAGACGAATCAAAGAACGCTCTCTGTATAAATAAGATTGAGCATTTTAGTAGCTTCCAAAACTTTGAATATGGAGATATCGGTCTGAGAGTTTGGAAATGTTATGGCATCGGTAAAGGGAAGTACATTCCATATGACGTAATTTATATCAAGCACCCAAGGTCAAACGTCCCTTCAAACCATAGAATATCAAGGGTTTTATGATCCTCCTGGAAAGCGCGTGGTCAAGCGTCGTTCAAAGGGCAGCAAGGAAACAGAGAGTACAACGCCATTGTTTGAATGCTCTGTGTTTGGATGTGTTGAAGTGTTCGAAACCTTTTCGCAGCTGGAGCTGCACCTGGACGTTGGAAAGCATACAGTCAGCAGGTTAAGCCAGTATGATGCAATCAAAAGGGACTGGGCCCTTAAGTTCTCGTCGATAGATACCGCTGGTATCGAGTGTTCGAGCTGTTCGTTAGATTCTAGTACACCACTCACTAGAAAGGTTTTTAAGCAATCTGATATAAATTCTGTGGCTTAACTATGCGAATCAAATATTTTACAAGGTTACAAAATATGCCTATTTTTCAATTTTCGAGACGTTGCTACGGTCCCTACGGACTGGGAAATAATTATGGCCCCTAATGCAGTCAGAAAATTATTTCGAATCAAACCAAATCTAATTTAGTTCTTTCCTAGGTAAAGTCTTTCTGTTAACAGAGTTTCAGGCAAAATTATTTTTGACGCAAAATTGACCGGGTGGAAATAAGAGAGACAGCCTCTTAAGTTCTAAACATTCCTCAACTGTCTTTCCCTTCATTTAAAAAAAGCTTTTAATTTCCAGAATTCCAACCGATGGATTCTCATTAGGATCATAAATTATACTATCTGGCGAACAACCCATCCAGTAAATATCAGGATGAATCAACAAGCCACATTTGAAAACTTTAATTTGAGCACCTGACAATTCCTTGAACTCTTTGACAACCACTGTTTCGTTGTCCAGACCATATTTCATGGCCTCAGTCAGCACCTTTGTTGATGAAAATAAATTATGTAAGAACCTATCATTAACTGGTGCTTTCCTGGAAATAACTTCACCAAATCTTGAAGCAGTGATTCTGAATGCTCTCTCTTGATACCAAGCTGAGCAATTGGACTGACTTCTCGTATTTTTCTCGATTTCCATCGCTTTTTCTCGAGATAAAATGATATTTGATAGGAAGGGTTTTTTTCTTCTAGCACGGTTGGTGGTGGCCCTTTCCTGACATGTTCCGGTAAAGTAATTTCTCCGGGAAATTCAAACACTGCCTCAAGGCCTTCACTGTAAACAGTAGCTACAAAGCCCGGGGGATATATATCCCTTAACTGATTTGCTACAGGACAGCCCGCCAAAAAATTCCCCCATGGAAGAGACTGGTGGGTTGCTGAGTTAAAGTATTGGAGCCAAGCAGCATAAGTGGTAGGACTCACATCTGAGATGTTTTCTCCAAGTTGTTGAACTTGTTGTCTTTCAGTCATTAGCCGTTGTTCGATAGGTCTGGGATCGTATAAATACTCCTGTACAGTCTTAGGTGCTACTTCGCGAGCTTTTCTTTCTATTTGTGGTTTCACAAACTCAGAAGCAAACCATCTTTGTGGTTCAAGCGGCGGACCTCGAGGTTTATGCCACTGTTGTAGATGGGAGGTTGGAGAGTCGTCATCGTGTAGTTTTACCGTTACGTGTGTAAACAAAGCAGCTAAATGCTGGCATTTCCCAGTTCCAGCTTTACATGAACATTGAGTGGTAACTTCGATGCTTTCTTCTTCGGAACTATCAAATACAATTCTTAGTTTATGTGGCGCTTCAGTCTTCCTCATCGAACGATAACATTTTCCTTTTACGACGCAGCAATCCTCAGAAAACAAGATTTGGACACCCTCAAGGTACGTTTGCAGGTAGCACTTGCTTCCTTTTTTCCTTCCCTTTTTGCTTTTGAGCCACTTATTCGCAAACTCTAAAATAGCGCGCACGAAGTTTCCATTCTGCGGCACATTTCTCTCCATGCTTTCCGCCATATTGAAAACTTATACCCCCAGTTTCCAGTCCTCTCTCGGCCGGCGCCATTTCGGAGAAGGGTCTATTTGACCAATAGGCTTCTTGCAAATTCCCCTTGATGAAATCCCAAGACATAATCAGTTGTTTTCGTGAGAAAAGACAACATATATGAAAGAAAAGTGAGATGCAAATGTCTTATGTTATTATTTTATTAGCTTTATAGCAGCTGTACCCTCTCCTGCAGTCTAAATTTTTCAAGGTCACTCCTTATCTTCTGCCTTGTTCGGTCAGTTTCGACTTCTGAAGCTAGATCATTGGCATCGGCCTCTTCGTCCTAGTTCATATTTACAGAGGGAGACCTCGTCAATAAACCGATTTTTGTTACGGCAGATAACCGGTTGAAGTATTGAGAGATTTGCTGCTCTATCAACCGGTCAGTCTTAGACAACATTTCTGGCTGATGTCGTCTCTTAAACTCGATATTTGGGAAGTCACATTAGAGGCGGTTGCCATACTAGTCTCCTCCCCTGTCCAGCACACGTCTAGGAGATGATTTATTGCTTTCTGAGAAAAGGTGGCTGTTTTTTATGTTTTCCAAAGAGCCTATCCAAAGTCCACTCGGCTAGTTAGGGATTGTTCGTCAGAATTTTACCTGAGGTCCGACCTCGAACGTAGCCATCCCCTATAGAATGGCAAGCCGGTCTTCGTCCGTTTCCTCTTGATCTCATCATAGGCGGTTTTGTTTTTGTCAGCTTCACTGTGTTTGTCTTTGTTAGGGTGCTTTTGAATGGCAGCCAATAACTGAAACGTCTTAATACATCCTTCCTTTTAGCAAGAATATTGCGCTTTCTTGTTCTGTCTGTGACGGATTAGGTATAGTTCTCGGGATGACCCGCGTTCAGAGATCTGTGCACGTTGCTGATAACCACCCGCTTCTACGATTAGTTTGCTGAAGGTTTCTAATGCGATGAGCCCAGTGAAACCCTGAGGTGCTCCAAACTGTGCCAGTTGGTCTGCGCTATAAACTTGTTGCAGTTCTTAAGTCAGAGGGAGGATCGCCCACCTCTATTTATGTGAGCGCCTCTACAGTACCTGCGTATCCCTGACAATCATATGATATAAAGTTCATCTCAGTCACAAATCACCAGTTAGGAAAATTGATGTTTCGATATATAGGCGCTCTTCTTGCCCTTCTCCCTTATTCATTGCCGACTCTAAGATAGCAGTTACAGTACGCGTTCTATTAGGTTTACAGTCACCTTGCTACCAGGAAAACCCGCCACCAGCTTTGATTTCTTCTGTCATCTTCAGATTCACCTTTCTCTCAACTTTACGTCTCCGATTTTTATGGGGAGGATACTGGCATTTACGAACCCGATGGTCTGAATCTCACACCAAGTTGTGCACGATATTTGAGGTATATATTGAAATCGCGGCCTTCGTAATCTCCAAATAGGCCAATACGCGCTAGAATAAGCTTCTTCTCGGACGAAACGCATGTTTGGGATACATCGACGTCTCTCAATTTTTTTTAAGCTGTAATCTCACGAATTTAGAGGTATGGCCTCTTTCCTTCCCTGGCCAGCGCGAGAAAAATAACATTTTGTTCTACAGTTAGTTGCAAATGAACAAGACAACTGCACCATCTTGACTCTATCAATCCGAGTGTTAGGTTGAATTGAGGGCCTTTTAGACACTCGATTTCTTATATGACATCACTATGAAGACGTAATACAACTGATGTACCAACACTACATTGGATTAACGATGTCTATTGCGCTGTTGCGATAAGGAGGAAAATATTACCGGAAGTGTAAACTCTTTAAGAGTTTCAGAGACGTTTCACGTGTCTATTTTCGGATGTTATAGAAAATTGACCCCCACTTAAATTTACTGGGAAAAATGAACTTACCAACTCCTTGTTGAAAAAATTGGAATTCGTTTGACGGCTACGCCGGTTGTTTCAATTTTGCTTTTCCTCGGGCTGCAATACTGAACAGTTCTTAAATTGACCAATGATTAAAATGTTTTGAAACATCGTTCGGAATTTACCTTTTTTTCTGCGTACAAGTTAAGGGTAGAAAAAGTTTTTAAAACATTTGACAAAATTTCATGGGTTCACTTCGATAATTTTCGTCGGCCAGAGTCAAGACGCGCCAAGCTAAGCGACATCGCCCTCCAATAAAAATAATTTTCCAAAGAATAAATGTGGCGAGCGTGAGGAAACGCACATTTTTTTCATTATTAAGTACCTAAATTGGTACTTACGGCATCAAATCACTGATTATGACAGGGTGAGCTTAATTTTTCTGTCTAGGTCGATGTGACCTAGCATTAAAAGCGTTTTTGACGGAACAAGCTAGTGAGTATCACTGCGCGAACTGAGAAAGCAAGAACTTATACTTATCTCCCACGCGTTTCGTCTGACAATAGTAGACTTCATCAGAGACTTTTTCAAGTAGGGTAAATAAGCTTGCTCGTAGACAAATAGTAAATAAGTTATCTCTTTACTATTGAAGCCAGTGGATAGAATTCGCCAGGTGCGCCTACGGTGTTATACATGCGTGACATTTTCCGGAAGTTACATGTACGATTACAAGATCCGTTTGAGGGTCACAGATTTAGTGTAAATATTTGACCCCTCAACATCACGCAATGTCTCTAGTTTACAGAGGTCTTAGCACGTTTCATTATAAGGATTTTCCTTCTGCGGATAGAAGATTACAAGTGAATTTCTCAGGCGTAATTGCCTTTGATTTCTCACGTGATGTTGTCGCAAACAGTTTTTTTGGAGTCACGAAAATAAAAAACTTATCAGGACCTAGTTCATGTTCTAATGGAAATAAATAGCAAATAAAAATATATTCTCTTGAAAAATAAAGTTATAAATAACGGGGGTTCTCTGAAACAACATTGACTTTTCATAGCCTACTTAGAAATCTGAGGGAACGCGCTGAGGGAATAAAAAAATATAAATGTGTAATGATGCAACGAAGAGAATAAAAATACAAATAAAGAAAAAGGAGAAAACATAGGAACCCGTGTTGCAGCGTGCAGATATCTTTTGAGCTAGACCTACACACCTAGGCCCGACACGACCTAGAGAAACTCGAAAGAGTGCTGTATATGAACTGGCTCGCACGTGCACTCAAGAAAGGCCATGACAATCAGCGAAAATAATATCAAATGCAAATGATATTTGCAGTCAAAAAACAGGAAAATAAGATAACAGAAGGATTAAGAACTTTCTAGATGTGTCTTCAAGAAAAAAAAAAGGTAACAATTTTTACTTCTCATAAAAGGTCAGGCAGTCACGCTACGAATACTATTTCTATACGTGGAATTTCTTGATGGTGGAAAGTGGAAAAAACATTTTTTAGTCTTATTTTCTAGAAACATGGTGCAGAAGAAAGAAACGTTACGATTTCCCATTGATTTTTCGCCTACATGCATCTCTCTAAACGTGAAATTTTCCATTCCTACGTAAAACCTCGAAAGTTTTTCACATTTTTCACCTTTCTTGATCAATCATCTTGTATGAAGAGCTAAAAAATGTAGGTTTATTTGGTCAAGTAACCGCCTAGAGCAAGAATTGCATGACAGGTGTGGTTGAGAAAAACGTGTCACGGTCGCAGATTTTAAAAGGCATCCAAGACAAAAATACGGTAGTGCCCAGAGATTTTTTTGATGATTTCCAAAGGTGAAATAATGGGTTATAAGGTAATTAAGATTAGTGTTGTAGCTTTATGGCAACGGGAGATATTTGACCCCAAAGTTGTCAAATATTTGAATGAATCGAAAAGTCTAAAGATACAGTCGTATATTTGCCTCTGTTGATTGACAAGCCCTCACTCAAATTGACTGATGCTTGCGGCGGACATCATCTAAGGATGTAAAAATATGTGTGCAAACCCTCAGAGCAATTGGTTAAATACCATTGCAGTGAGAGCTTCATACATTTTACCTATTTTGAAGCGATTTCCTTAGTGAAAACCAAGAAAAACCGAGTGGAGGGGGTGGTCTATCTCCCCCTGATAAAAACCAAAACAGAAACCAGTTTGTCTTTTTTAGGTTTGGGGTAGACCCCTTAAACTGGCAAAGTTTCATTGAAATCAGTAAGATGGCATGTAGCACGACTTCCCGGTGCTTTCGTGGACACGCTCTTAATTCAATTACGGTTATTGGGGCCCGGATATCTCTACAAAAACTTGACAAATCCGTAGGACTTCGTCAGTCATCTACCACGGTGATATATTGAGGTATTTACCAGTGGTATTTTGTGACTTCATTGAACTCGAGGTAGGATGATTCAGAGATGCTCGAATGTTGGATCTGGATTTAGGAAGGACTGCTTAATGGATTACTAATCCCTCCTGGCCTCTCAAACATTTTCTTCATATTAGCGAGGTTTGTAAATTTATGGCATGCAGTAATATTGTTTCATAATCGCTTGAAGAGAAATTAAGGGTGCATGACTAATTTCTAAATTCCTTTTCTTAGTTGTTACACTTCAAGTGTTTTGACTGGCTCATTCAAACTGGGCTGTCACTTTTTGACTAGGCTACAGGTGTCACTGGGCTGATTTTTTTTGTCATCTCTGCGTGCAAAGAAGAATAATCAGAAGAAAATTGAAAGAAAGACATGAACACTGAACTGCATAGAGGAATATTGTTGACTCGATAACTAGACTAGTTAAGGAAGAGGAGAAGAGTCTAAGGAGGAAATTCCATCTTCGAATGTTTCCTTTAACACATTCTCGTACGAATTTTTCTTTAACGATCTATTTAGCGAACGAATTTTCCCAAACCGATGCATGTTTCAAATGAAAATGAGTTAATTAATGCAGCTTTATTAGGAGATAACCCAAATATGCGATATTATCCACGCATTCAAAAGGCTGCTTTGAAGGTTGGATTTCATGCGTTGCTCTTACACCAATATTCAAAAAGACTCCAAACTTACAGCCACCGCAGCCGGTTATTGCTGCTGAAAATGCCTGATGGTAAATTCTTCAACTGGT